GTGCAATACAAGTTAAGATCAAGCCTTACCTCAAATAAAAATCCAGTTGCCCCTTCTTTTATTTATAATAATAATATGAATAATAATATTATTATTGTTATTATTATTTGCCATGCTAGCATCGATAATTATACTCAAAATATAAATAAAATACAATATACAATTAAACTTCTTAAAAATGAAAATAACTAGATAAAATCTTTCAGTGTAATATTTGATAAATTCTAAACTTTTCCTAAGTGAAAAAAATGATTAATGAAATTTCTGAATACAACTGTTGCCTACTCCTCCTTTTGTTAAAAAAAGTGAATATATAAACATTGAAGCACTTACAATGGAGAAATATACATATATATTTATATAAATTCTTGTTTCTTGTATACACACAGTATATATATATATATATATATATATATATATATGTGTGTGTGTGTGTGTATGTGTGTGTTTGTGTATATATATATATATATATATTTGTTGATTCTTGTTTAATATTCATGTAACAAATGAGCTATAAATTTGTTTAAATTGTTGTTTTGTGTCATTACAGGGTTTGCATGATTGCATCATGACAACAAAATTGTAACTTTGCACAAAGTTAATAAGCATTTTTTTTCTTCAAAATAAAATAGTTACATGCATGATTCATATTGTTTAGGTCTTGTTAAAATACTGTTTTAATAGTAAAACCACGTTTCTAGATTGGTCCCCATTCACTTCCATTCTAAGTGCCTCACTGTAGCCCAGATTTTTGATTTTCTTTAAAGAAAAGGCGGAAAAATCCTAAATCAATTTAATCAAAATTACACCACAATTAATCTTAAATGTGTGCAGCACGGAATATTGCTTTAACATCCCCAGTAAAAATATTTTCAGAGTGGAGAAAGTTATATTTAACATAGCTTTATGGGATAAGGTTTTGCAGACCTTAGGATTGTTAAAAACAGTATGTACAATTTTCATGACATGATCAATGTATGACATTCGTTATTATATTCTCCAGATTTCTCTGAAAATCCAGCCTTCTATATCGGTAGTCAATTTTTTCTTGAGTGACTGGAAAGGTACAGTGTGTCCTGTAAGCTTATCAAGCTATCCCTGTATAAACAAACTACCTCCTATCGCCTCCTCCTAATGTGACTTCACATACTGCCATCTAGTGGAATACAGTAGAATACTATAAAATGGACAGTTCTGTAATGTAACTAGATGAGTCAGTTGGAAACAATAGCCAATATATATATATATATATATATATATATATATATAGCCTATATACACACACACAAAACCGATCAAATTCAATATTAATTTTTATTTTTTAAGTCACAGCAAGAACAAAATGTATAAATATATAATGAAATCATTCCTTAGTAAAAGAAAACAAAAAACGCAACAGTTAACAAGTTCATTAGGGCATTTTACTTTGTACCATATCATGTGGCCACAGGAAAATATGTTCATTGATACTGAATGCAAGAGATGCAAGAGAAAATATGTTCATTGATACTGAATGCAAGAGATGCAAGAGAAAATATGTTCATTGATACTGAATGCAAGTCTCACACATCAAGACAAATGTTAACTGTCCTGCCAACATTGCAAAGTTGGCATCACTGAGACAGAGGAGCATCTAAGAGTTGGCCCCTGTCCGAGGCCCTTTCATGACAAATATCTTTGCCTCATCATCAATCTCTTCCATGATTTTCTCCTGCCTGACTGAGAGAATGGTGTAGCTGACTGATGAAGTGATACAGGGGTTAAGGCCATTACATCACACAATTTGAGATATAATGACTTATTATTAATTGGCTTGATTGATTTGTAATTATTAATAGTGGGTGGGTAGGCATTCTTTTATAAAATTATAATTATACCATTTTGGTAAAGGCTGAACAAACATATATCCCTACTCACCTGAAAATGTGCTAATAACATTTTACAGAAACACACATTTTTATTATGGTAATAATATATCTTTTTGTCCCATGGTAATTTTTAACATACCATACATAAACATCTATCTATCTATCTATCTATATGAGCAGTCATGTAATGAAACTATGAAGGATACATAGGCCCACCACAAAGGCTCCGATGGTCAGGCCCGTGATCAAATTACGGCTCCGCAGTTGTTTTGAGTGCCTCTTCCAGTATTCCAGTTCCTGCTGTCTTTTAAGGAGCTGTTTCTGAGCAGGTGTAAGAAGTTTTGGCGCAGTTGAGGACGCGTCCGGAGTCTTTCCCTCCATGTTTGTCTCGTGTTCTGTGACGTTATTCGCTGCACCAATCAATTCATCCATATGAGGATACGTCAGATGCCTCGATGCGAACAACCAGGAGGTGTCGCTCTAACTCCGAGGAATAGGCTGTTTTTCTGGGACTTTTCATTCTGTTTATATGACAGATATTACATTAAATTGAAATTCACAATTTATTCCCCAAAGGGAAAATATCTAACAAAATTTAGTTCTGAACTTATACTTCTCATTTTTGTTTTCTCATTTCTCATGTGTAACAGTTACATCCTGTAAAATATAAGCCTTCTTACTTAAATTGACTATAAGACTCTCATTGTAGTCCATAAAAAGACATACACTGTAAAAAATAAGTGTAATTTTAACTGTAAAATCTTGTAAAAACGATACTGAAAAAAACTGTTAATAGGTTAACAGTAAGTTCCCGTACTATATACAGGGAAAAACGGTAAAATATCTAACCAGACATTTCATGTAAGTTTACAGTAAAATGCTGTTAATTTTACAGTTTTTAGAAGTAAAAATAACAAATCAATGTATAATTTACAGTCAAAAACTGTAAACGGACATTCCCAGAATACCCTGCATGACACTCCACATTTGAAAGTATTTTGTTTAAATAATCATGTTTTTTTAATAGTTTTTTTTTTTTACAGTGTAGTTCTAAACATAATCATAGACCGTTTTAATGCATGTTTTTGTGTTTTATGAATTTGTCTTTAATCACGGATCTCCTGTCTGCAAAACAAATTTACCGTTGGGTACAAATAAAGACACATTGACCAGCATACTATATATATAGCATAGTATAATGTAGTGTAGCCTAATATGTAAAAAAAAAACAAAACTTTATTACATATTTTTGAAAGCTAGACAATCCGACGAACTGGTGATTGAAAGCTGGAAAGTACTACAGGGAACAGTAAACAAAGACAAGAACTGAAGAGTTAAAATGAAGGCACCATATTTATTTAGCCTGTAAGTTCTCACATTGCATTGATCTATAGTCCAGTTATAATATCTGTTCTCTATTTTAAATTGTTCTACACACTGACTTAATGATTGTATATAAGTCAGTATATATTGTTTATAGTATTGTATATACTAAAAACATTTTTTTAAATATAATATCCAGATTTCAGTAATTACCAGTGTAAGAACTATGCACATAATTGCATAACATTAAATATGGTGTATCTGTTTTATTTACAGAATATTTATCTCTATAATAAAATGAAATTGCCAATTATTTATTAACCATATTTTTTATATAAAAACAAAATATTTAAAATATGTACAGCTTTAGTCTACATCCACAAAGTTTGTTTTTAACATGCAATGCACAGCCATATTTTACTTTACTGCAAAATGTTCCATTGTTCATTTTCATACTTCTGTACATTGTACTGTCAGCATTTTATAACAATAAAGATGGCGGAAAAATGTTAGTCATACAGTTGATTAATAAACACTTTCTTTTCTCAGTCTCCTCAACAATGAGGTTCAAACAGTAGTGCTATTGGTGATTAAGCACATATTAATTCCAGCTTTCATCGTCAAGATCTTAGTTCAGAGAACCTTTGAAGCTTTTAATACCTTTAAAGCAATCAAAGTAAGTTATTTCTTATTGAAGACTCCACAACTGTCTAATCTCAAACATGACATTTTGACAAATTAGACATGTTCTTTCTTTATATCCATTTAGATCCATTTGATCATATTGGCAGATGATCCCTTCGGCTTTTTGTTCTCTTGATTTCGCCAGTACCAAAAACACATATTGCATTTAAGAACAAGGCAGTTTCGAGGTGCAGATCCTCTTGATGTTTCACAATGCACTTATTTGTTGCGTCATTTTGGTTTTGACTGATTGGGAGAGTCAATATCCAATCAGTAGACGGAAAACAGTCAGTAACCTTGTTCATTTGGGAATATGAGAAGATGGTGCAAATGGTTGTATTCTCTTCCCTTCCATCAGGTGATTTCATTTGGTTTGGAAGAGCTCATTGAACTCGTTGAGAATGAGCTCCACAATCTGGTTCTGGAAGACCATGTGCATGGTGATGTTGGACTCCTCCTGTGGTCTCAGCAACGTCGGGCCAAACACGATGGCCATACTTTGGACAGACATGCGGTTCAGCTCACCATGTTCAATCACCCTTTAGGACAGATGGGTATATGGTCAGAACTGCTTTTCAGTAAATAGGGCGAGGATGCATTTAGTACAGATTTTCTTGAATGACCTGATCACTGTTAATACCCAAGACAAAAGGAAGTAACAAAACCATATGTGACAAAGATGGTCATCATACTACTGACATACTACATCAATACTGAGTGAAAAATAGGTCCATACTTTCGAAGATGTCTGAAGAGAACCTCCATGGTGTCATGGTTGGGCAAAGGCAGGTTTCTCACCAGATCTCGAATATATGACACTTTCTGGCTGTAGTCACTCATTTCTAGAAAACAAATACAATAATTGAGTCCTTAAACATGCATGAATGAGGTTTTGGTCTTGGGAATTAAACTTAGTGTATTGTTGAGTAGAAACTCCCTACAGTTTCCAATAATAATCAATCAGAGTCAAGTGGAATCATAAATCATTCATTTCGCAGTCCATGATGCATTGCATCATTTAGAAAAGAATCATAACCAAATCAAATTGTGGTTCAAAGCAAATATTCATGATTTGTTTTCAAGTCAAAAATATATTACTTTTAATATCTAACTCTTATAAAATAAAAGCTTTATTAGGTATATAGCATGTGTCAAAACATAAAGGGATAGTCCACCCAAAAACTAAAAATTTGTCATTATTTACTCATTCTTCGTGTTGTTCCAAATCTGTATGAGTTTCTTTCTTTTGTTAAACATGAAAGATATTTTGTATTATGTTGGAAAACAAAGTTGCTGGTAGCCATTGACTTTCATAGTATGGGGGAAAAATACTATGGAAGTCAATGGCTACCAGCAACTGTTTGGTTACAACATTCTTCAAAATATCTTCTTTTGTGTTCAACAGAAGAAAGACACTCATACAGGTTTGGAACAATATGATGGTGAGTAAATGATGAAAGAATTTTCATTTTTGGGTGAACTATCCCTTTAAGCCAAAAAGCAATGAATTAAAAAAACATTGATTTTGTTCTCTAAACAGGACAGTAACACTCACGAATGGCAGCGATGAACCTATCAAAAAAGCTGAAGGGGAAAAGAGGCTCAGGAAGTTCACGAAGGAAAAGCTTCAAAGCTCCTGTAATCACATGGATCTCTTCCCACTGCCCGTCCTCCAGATCCAGATCCTCTTCTACAGAAAGAAAGGAATATACAGTTTTATATAGTCAATAAAAACAGTATTGTTAATCCCCCACTGCTATAATAAATAAATTCTGAAAACTTCATTGTTTGAAGGAGATCCCACATGAATTTGTGATTTTACAGCAGTAACCATTTATATTACCATTATGTTTATATCTACTTACATTAAAAATAATCAAAAATATACTTTTACGACAACTATCTAAGCTCTTTCGATTTGACATCTGATCATTTTCAAAAGTTCGAAAAATTCCTCCTGGTGAGAATGTTTTAAAAACATTTGTTAAAATTCTGAATGAAATCCTTAACTATAACTGTAGGAATTAAGGTGTTTTGGCAGATTGTTACCATGGTAAATGTGTTTGTTTCCAGCAGTCTGTAAATTCATTGTGATAGTGAACTCAATCCTAAACGGTGGATGTATACAGTTCTCAAGGGTTGAAAACACAGTTAAAGTAATTGTGATGATGCTCTTGTTTACCATGATCCGCTTTATATCGCAGCTTCTGGATGACAGCCAGGTTCCCATTCACTCTGTAGATTCCATCTATTTTCAGACCTGCACCACGCAAACAGACACTAACACTTTAGATAACTTTTCTTACTTCTGAACTAAACACACACCAGAATGAACGCTTACCCCTTTTCTCAATAGATCTTATGCATTTTTCCATAAACTTGGGCACAGTTTTGTTTTCTCGATGACAGAGGGTGTCTAGGTGGCAGCCAAACACATTCTCTGTAAACAAAGAGAAACTAAAAGTCAAAATGATTTACTGTGTGAATTAGGGGTGTAACGGTACACAAATATGACGGTTCGGTACGTACCTCGGTTTTAACGTCACGGTTCGGTATGATTTGAAACGGTTCGGTACGAATACGTGTACCGTTACACCCCTAGTGTGAATATAGGATAAGGACAAGTCCACTAGACTCAAATTTTCATTGATATGTGCTTGAATTCTTTGAAAGCGAGTCTTCAGTTTTTATGGACTGCACTTTAATCACAGTGTTACTAATTAAGCTCACGTTGAAAGAGGCAAAAGTTGATCCTAACCTTTGATGTAGCCCTTCTCTTTGACTGACTGCAGAGTGGGCCGCCGCTGGAGGAACTTGCGCAGCTTGGTGCGAACACGGCCCTGTTCTAAGTCTATGCTACTTGAAGAACTCAGTCTTGTTGCTATAAGAAAATGATTTATAAATACAAAGAAGCTGAATTAAGTCATTAATAACAGTGATTTGCTTGATGTGCATCTGATTCAGTTACTGACATTCACTCTTCCTCTCTTTATCTGCAGGTAATGGAGGTTTTTCTGGGATATCTTCCACTTCATCCTCTGAGTAATGGTTATGGTCCTGCTGTAAAAGATCACAACATATTTTCATAATTTTAAGAGTAAATGTGACAAGATAGAAAAATCTTGGCAACTTGTGTTTTTTTTTGTTATACTGTATGTTGCCAGCCGGGGTGCCACTCACCAGCATTCTGATGGTGTCCAGAATGATCTTGTGCCAGTCGTGTATGATGCTGTCTGTGTCATACTGTATCAAATACTCAGAGCCGTGACGTGTCTTGAGCTGCTCAGTGACATGGACCATATTTTAAGCTTTATTATTAAAAAATATGGACTGATATATGCTGACAAGAAAATCTCTGAGGGCAAACGTCAACAGTGGCTGGTAGCAATCCATATCAAAGCAATAAATATGAAAATATTTGTACATAAGATAACATACTTCTTAGCTTCACCACTATTAAAACTACAACACATGTTGTTAATAGCGCAAGAGATCTGGCAGCGTTTGTGTTTTAGTGCCAAAACAAAGGTCACCATCATACTTGCCAATGACTAAACCGATCACAACGGAACATATTTGAATTTAGAGAAACAAGTTCAGTCTTAATTCCTGGAAGAGCAATGTAATAAATTTCACAAGATGCAGTCTTTTGTTTATTTATTTTGCACAAGCTATGAACAGGAAAGTCTGTACTGAGTCACAGTGCTCACCTCTAGAACATTCTTCTTGCTTGACTTTTCTTTTGACGCCCATGATAAAGTCGCTCCTTTCAGTTCCACTGTGTACTCTGGGACGATCTGATTGGTCTTGGTCTGCAGGAGTCAACCAATGGCAGTCAGTCTTTTATTTTAAAGTTGTTCTCTTTAGTAGACTTAATCGACAGGTGCTACTGTATGTGATTTCTCTAGATCCATGTAGAGAAAATGAGTATGCAGGATTAAAAAGAACCAGTATATATCCAATTACTGACTAATATGATCAATTTAAAAATGTCTAATAACGGACAATAACTGATATGTTACTGATCTATTGTGCATCCCAAATTACTAAGAAAACATTAAGTAAACTTACAGACATCCCTGCGGGTGTAAATTTAGGGTCTTTGTGGAAAGTGAGTATGCCATCATGGAGAACAGTCCATGACTGCGCCCAGTTCTTCCTGCAAACACAGCAGCAGTGATTTCAGAGCAGAGACACGTTAAAACACTATAAAGATCAATTTCTGTCTAATCTTACTCTATTCTCAGCACCTGAGCAATATACAGTATAAAAGGGAATCTATATATAAACTCGTATTAGCTAGAAGTGCACGTTTCCCAGACCAGGGTTTACAGGGTAACTGCAGTTGTAAGTTAATTGAAAAGCTAATCATTATTTAAGTCATAAAAATGGAAAAGTAAAATAAAAACAAACAGAAAAAAAGAAATGTCATGAAATTAAATTAAAAATGTAATATTTTATTTGTTTTCCTGCATCTCCAAGAACCTGCGAATGTTATCACATTATTAATATATTTACTTAAAATCTCAGGGGGTACTTCAAGTAAATGTTTTAGTTTACGGACACTGTCTTACAGTGGCTAGGTTCATATCTCTCAGACAGGCAACAGTTCATTAGCATAGCTAAATCCAAATCTCATTCTGTCACTTTTTCTCGTGGAGTGCCTCAAGGATCTGTCCTTGGTCCAGTTCTATTCTTAATCTACATGCTTCCTCTGGGTCAGATCATCTGGCGCCATGGTTTAAATTTCCACAGTTACGCCAATGATACGAGAAGGGTCTGGCTGCAGCTTGGCGCTTGCACTCTCAGACGTGCATTCTCAGGCTTACATTCTCAGACACTTGCACTTCCGCTAGCGACGTCACTTGCAGTCTTTTTTATTTTTTATTTTGTCCTATTTATTGATTACTTTTTGTTTGAATCTCTCAACATTTTACAACAGTAGCCAGGTGGTGAAGACAAGAAAAAAGAAACTAAATTACGAAGTCACTTGCAATCGCCACTTGCACTCTCCGACACCTGCGACGTCACTTGCAATCGACACAGATCGTGCGTGTTGCCAATGGAGACAAGACGCTGTGGTGGTGATTAAACAATTAAAACTAATTTAGTACCGTAACCTACAGGGTCCTGCAAGAAAAAGACAAGACCCGCAAATCCGTGGCCACAGAACAGCAGAATATGAACGCAATGCGCAAAGTCTCTTCCTCCTGTAGAAAAACATAAACACTTAACATGGTTTAATGTAAGATGCTATTCAAATATCAAATTCAATATACAGTTTATTAATATAATGAATATGTATATAGTATTTTCCTCTAACCACAAAACTGAGAATGCACGTCTGAGAGTGCAAGCGCCAAGCTGCAGCCAGACCCTTTTGAATGATACGCAAATCTATTTTACCATACAGCCCAATTCTGTTTTTCCCCTTCTTCTTTTACATCTTGCTTACATGATCTCAAAGTACGGATGGCCCAAAATTTCTTAGTTAAATACTGAAAATAACTGAACTTCTGTTAGTTGGCCCTAAATCCCTTGTCTCCCAACCTGACAACTCCATTAACATTGACGGAGTTATAGTCCATCCCTCTTCCACTATACACAATCTTGGTATAATGTTTGATTCTAGTCTACATTTTGAATCCCATATCAATATAATTTTTTTCATCTTCGTAATATTGTCCACCTACGACCATCTTTAAATTTCAAAGATGCTGAAACTGTTGTTCATGCGTTTATTATGTCGCGTCTTGATGATTGTAACTCCTTGTTTTATGGCCTACCCAACAAAGTCCTTAATCGCTTACAGCAAATCCAAAATTCAGCTGCTCGTGTTCTTACATTTACCAAAAAATCTGCCCACATCACTCCGGTTTTACAGTAATTACAATGGCTCCCTGTCACCTATCGCATTCAGTTTAAGAATAGTGTTTTAGTTTTCAATGCCAGTTATGGTTTAGCACCTTCTTACCTTTCTGAATTAATTCTCCCCTATGTCCCTGCCCGTACTTTGAGATATCTCTTCACTCCAGACCTTTAAAACTGCTCTCAAAACTCACTTAATTTCAATGTTTCTTAATTGATTGCCTGCTTAATTTTCTGTTCTATGCTTGTTTTTTAACTTATCTTGTATATTGCATTTTATTTCACCTCTGTCTGCTGTTTGGCTGTTCATATGTTGTATACTATCTGTTATTTACCTTATGTAAAGCGTTCTTGGGTATTTGAAAGGCGCTATATAAATAAAACATATTAGTTTAAATGGGTTTGGTTGACAAGAAAGTTTGGGAATCCCTGTGGTAAAAACTACACAGATGACTAATTTGCATGCTTTTTTTCTATCAATACTTGAAGTATGACTGTACTGTTTAACCACAGATAAACGTTGATTAATTTAAGGCCCCACCTCAGCCTTTTTCCATTCTCAGCCACTTTGGTCTTGTAGAGAATCCCAGCCTTCTCCAGTGATGACTGATGAATGCAAAAGACAAGGGGTTGTTTGTTAGAGGGATCAGATTTATTTAAAAAAAAAAAAACACATCAAACCATGGACAAACAAAAAGCTCTTTGTGAATGTTAAAAATATACTATTTGCCCATTTCATAATGACAAGCAAATAAGAGCAACATTTCAGAAAATTTTGCGAGATGTGAGTGCAACAAAACTCAAAAAAAGAGTCATAATAAAAAGTGTTTAAAAAAAGTGTTAGTGCAGGTCTGTTGGTAACATGTTAAATGAACAACGACGGAACAGCATGCCACAAAACAACACTATCTACAGCTATTGATGAAAGACAAACATTTTAAAATGAAGCAAATCTATTTTCCAGCCATTGGACAACAAGCAGTGATGTTAGTTTTCATCTAATGCATGACATGTTAGTTTCGGACCCCAATACAGACAACTTAACAGGCCCAATAAACAAGCTCAGGACGCACATGATGAGAATGAGAATGTGAATCTGTGCTGTGACTGGACAGGTTCCTCCGCCGTCTTAACTTTTTATCCTTGAGAAAGGGAACAAAATCTTTCTCACTAAATCTTGGACTTCTTTTCATTTTTTGTAGAGCAAATCACATTATATTGCATATTTTTTGATAAACAACTAGTTTATTTTTAGATAAAAAACACTGATAACTAAATCAGCACATTATAAAAATCTGATAATGGCAGGAAGTCATTTACTTGGGACTTAAAAACATCTTTTTAAAAACATTTTTATTAGCATGACCTTAAACAATGGTTTATAATCAGTTTTAGATCTTGCATGCAAAAGCATTCAATTAGGGGAACTTAACATGAATGAGAGCAAAATTATAATAAAATAAGAATGAGACTGTTACACATGAATGAGTTTTGGTGAACTGAATGACATGAGTTAGAAGCTGCACTGAGGGCTGGAAATAACAGAGGTCATGTTACGTACGTAATGCAGTGATTCTGGTGAATTCCCTGAACTGGATGCATCACTGGCATTGTCAGAGGCGATCCGCCTGTGTGAGGGGGAAAATTTCTGCAGGAGGAAATGAAGAGAAAGAAAATAAATGAATATTAGCTGGTGGAAAATGGTGCGGTGGTGTGTCAAATCAGGCACCAGATGTTTCCTTCCTTCCTGTTGTTGTCACTGAAGAGAACAGACTTGAGGGCACCCCTCACACAATTTGCTGAAACTTTGAAGAAACTTTTTGGTTTATGTCTAGCTGTCTTTGACCTCTATAAGGGTTCACAAGTCAGATAAATGTTAATGATTTAAAAACGACAGGATAAAGAAAAAAGTCTAAGTGTATATCTTAAATTATACAAGTGAAAAGATCCAGGTTAAGAGCGTCCTGAAACTCACCAGGTCTTCCTGAGATACGTTAAACTGGGTGTGTCTCCAATTGTTCAAAACGGGGTGAGCATCTTGGTCTATTCCATTTCCACTGATTGGCTGACCAGGCGGGACTGAAGCCTTTACAAAGAGTCAGTAGATAGTTTATACAGAGTTCACGGTAAGATATGCATTTGTAAAGAATATCAAAAATGTCCAAACAAAATCATACACAGACCTCTGGAAGGGTCCGCTGACATTTAGACCCATCTTTTAAGTAGTAATACATCTTCCCTTTGTCATCCTTAGACTGGATCCACTGTGACTGGGAGACAAAAATATTAGTCAGGCAGACTGTGAAATAAATGCATTGGTTTATTTTTTAAGCTACTTATATTACTTATATAAGAAGATTTGGTCATGAAATTATTGACATTAAAATAAAATTATGTATTTGAGTGCATGCAGTGTGGTGATATAGACCAATTACAGAACCTCTGACAAATCTTTCAGAAAGTTCAACACATTCCTTGCCACTAGCATGTTTATTTATTAAATAGGTTGGCTATTTTGATTTCACTTTTAGCTACCAATAAGTAAGTAGCAACCCCAGCTCCATTTGAAACACATTTAAAGTCATTTCACCAATGATTGTCCATCAAAATTAGTGCTGAAAAACTGGAACATGTCTGCAGATTCTGTATGGAGCTGGTCCGATTAATTTTTACAACGTCCTCATTTTTTGCAATGTGCACAGTTGCGGTATCATAAAGACAGCAACAGGGGGCACCAATATATACAAAAAACCAATAGCTATAAATCCCCTCTGATATCATATAAATGAAATGAAAAAGAGCTCTTACATATATTAATAATGTATTGAATTAACAAAAAAAAAAAAGATCATTCAGGATTCCGATTTATAGAGACTGGACACTGAATAAATAAAACACATGGTTTTGGGACCTAAACCAAGACTCTCTTTAGTTTTTTTTTTCAAGTCTGTGTGGTGTATGATCATTGTAGTACATTCATTAGTACTCCCAGCCTCATATGTATGTATGTGTGTGTGTGTGTGTGCGTGCGTGCGTGCGTGCGTGTGTGTGTTGTGATGAACTCTCATTACCTGTTCATGTGTGAGTTCATTTGTGAAGACAGATTTTCCATCGGCTCCTACAGAGTCAGTCCAGCCCACGGGGACATCTTTATACGTGTCCACAGCAACCCTAGGGATGATAGCACGCTTGATTTGGGGCAACTGAAAATCCTTAGGGAGCTGAAGAGAAATATGGGAATCCTCAGGCTGATTTGTTGGGTAGTCCTCCTCTGGAAGAGGTGGCTGAGGATGCAAAGAGTGAACAAAAAAACAACAAAAAAATCAGAAATCAGAAATCTTTACTGCCAGTTTTGATCAGTTTAATGCATCCTTGCAGAACTTTAAAGTTATTTAATTTATTTAAAAGAAAATCTTACTAATCGCATTTTTAAATGGTAGTGTAGATAGAGAGATAAATAGACAGACAGATATAGATGCAGGTAGAATCTTACCGGTTCGTTTGCCTCCTTGCCATGACTGTGAGCCCTATCTGTGGAGGACGGAGGTTGCGATGACTCTGGGGCAGTCCAAGAGGTTTGCTTCAAAATGTGATTATAATAATAATGTCTCCCAGTGCTCTCATCCAAAAGCTGCTCCCAGTCAGAGCCCAGCGAGTGTGCAGAGGATGGGGTGGACACAGGTATGGGGGAGGTCACAGACTCCATACCTGCTCCTGCTGGGGGGCTACGGGGATCAGACCAACTGCTCTGTCCTGTTTCAGGGTTGTAGAAGTACTCCTTACTGCTGTCGTGGTCAGTATGGACCTGCCATCCGTCCGAGTTGGTCGGGGAGGCAGAGTCCGGAGCAGGACTGAGGGTGTTGCCGGGTGACAAGCAAGTTGAGGCAGAGGAGTTTGAAGGGTGAGGAACAGTCTTCTTCAGGTCAGTAACGTTGGCATACACTGCCGTGGTGGGGTCATTCTCTGCCTGCGGGAGAGAAGAAAGGTCATATTTTGGGTATGATGGCAGTTTTTACAGAACTAAATTTAATTTAAAGATGAAAAATTGGCCGAAACATTATAATGTAAAGTAAATGAAACACCAAGTATTTATCAAGTATATTTTGCATAATCACATTAATTGAAGTCATTTGAATTACAACAAAAACGTAAAATAATTCTCATCAAAATGGCCCTTTCTGTCCTACAACTCAGAAAAAAAATGTGCAAAAATTGTACTTGTCACTAGGGCAGTACACTGAAAGGGACAACTTTGTACCTTCTTTACCCCTAAATGGTTCATAGTACCATAAGAATACCTATTACTACCTTAAGGGTTCATGTTACTACTCTAAGGTGCGAATATGCACCCTTTAGGGGAAAAATGGTACAAAGGTGTCCCTTTGAGGGTATTGCCCCAGTGAAAAGCTGTTGTACCTCCAAAAGTATGATTTTTGCACTTTTTTTCTGACAATTTATATGCTACTTTGGAAGGTCCAGAGATCCAAAATAACCATGTGCTGGTATTTCACAGCAAATACTGAAAGCATTACCCTTTAAATTTCATTGCACTTCTGGAATTCTGTTGTGTATGCAAGTATTGAAAACCAAGTAAATATTAAACTTTTATGTACACATACAATTGAACAGACCACATCACACAGAGCATGGCACTAACATGACATCATGTCAAAGTGAGGAGTGTATCTGTCTATGTCCCATGCAAGAACTTCTATTATTCATCTGAACAAAGGTCTATAGAAACCTGATGAAATCAAAGAGCTATGGGAAGAAAATCCTGCTTGAACCGCTCCCTCGATTCAGGAAAGACACAAGAACGTTTATGTGGATTCAAATATCTTGCCAGCTTTCATCTTCAGGCCTTCACTCTTTTTACCATTATAGAGTTCTTCAATGGAATTTTAATAAACTAGAACAGACATCTGCACTTAATTGGAAAGTTTGTCCAAAACATTTAAAACCAAGAGGTATGTAGAAAACCATTATCTATTCACCATTTGTGTAAAAAAGAGCAGCCTGGACGTTCTGCTAGCTAACTCCTCTAGTTAAAAAAAAGCATAATTTGTGTTTCAACCATCATGAGGTAATTAAAATGAAAACATAATTTTCATTTGTGTTAGAACTATCATGTCATGGTCTCAAAAAGCTGGCCAAAAATAGACCGGTGACCTGCAGACCTGTGAAAGCTGATTGGAAACCACAATGTAATGCCTAAAAAATATCAACAACAGGCCATCCTAATGAAAACCTGTGTTTGTTTAGTCCAAGTGAAAGTTTCTCTGGATACCATGTTCTTCCAAAATGAGGAAACACCCAGATAATGTGTTTTCCAACGCACAGCACATTCTCTGGGGAAGGGAAGCCAAGATCAAAACATAAAAACGGGCAGAGGTTTCCGCTGCACAATGTACATTTGAGAGGAGCTTGATACACACATAAGGGTGGAGTGTGGTCCACTGCCAAACTGTACGGTCTTATGGAGTATCACAATAATCTGAATGACACATGTCTGCTAAAAAAAGAACCCAATTGCATCCAAATAATATAAAATTAATGAACTATGTGTGTTTACAATGCAGCAAACAGAAAAACACGTTTATTTTAGGTTTTTAGGTTTAAAAACATTCTCTCTCTGTAAATTATGATAATGTGTATATTGCAAGTGCTGTAAATGGACTTTCGTTGTACAATGGCATACTGAATAATTATACAAGAATTAGAAAAATGTTATTTTATTTATTATAGCACATCACACTGAAGGATACAGCTGTCACTGCTTGAAATTGAATATGAACTGCTGAAATATAGCTGTAGACATCTTTGAAAAAACAGGACAAATGCAGAGCAAGCTATGATAATCCATTATTTCCCATAATATTCTCATAGTATTCAAATGAACATTAACAATCTATCTGCAAAAATCCTTTCCAGTGCATGTAATGGATTTGCATTAACTACTAAAAAAATTTAAATAAAAACATAAAAAAATCATGCAGGCCATAATGTCATCGAAAATCTCTAATACAGGATCTATAAACAGGAATGTCCCAGTAATAATTACAATTTATTGATGGATTCAGTTCAAGACTGCAAATCAAAGGTAAACCATTTGGCCCTGTGTCACCTTTTAACTAGCAATAACAAACTTTGAGTAGAAAATCTTTGGGTAAACAGCAGTCTCACAAGCACTGATGGAATCAGTGAGTCCACGACATCCTACCTGCATATCTCAGTCTCAGTTTCACAATCCTACCTTGTTTACCGCTTACCTTACGAAACCTCAGAAAGGTCTGCAGCCTTGGCATCAGCGTATGGCAAGCCTTAAGGATCATCTCTTTCACTTCCATCCGAACAGTCAGCAAATAAAACTACTCTCATAAAAAAAATATTAAAAAAATGGGAAAATAAAAATGTATCAAAACTCAACTATTATGTTCTGACCACATATGGTCCCACCTGAGAGGAGCAAAGTTTCAAAACACTAGAAGATCTGGAAACGCTTTTCTGCTGAACTACAACACAGCTTCTGGCTAAGAGTACAGTACCATCAGATATACAGTAAGTAGAGATTCACAGAAATTGGGAATTTACAAAAAACATCAGGCTTTAGGGGAGGGGCACATCAGATTATTTGACAGAAAAGCTAAAGGGGATCTCCTGAGGGTCCAACACGCATGTATGATCGCACATATAAACACAGAAACCTCAACTGGGAACACAAACTAACTGCTGTGGGTGGAGGGACTCGTGTTAAACTATCATTTCCTCTTGAGGTGGAGTAATGCTAATTAAAATAAACAAACATAATCATTGGTTCGGTAAACATCCTGCAATCTGTCAAAAAGGCTTCATGACATGGACAACAACAAGAGTTTGAAGAAAAACCCAAGCCATATTTTAAGTAATAACCATTATTGTATGCAAAGTCCAAGCATTCCAATAAGGGAAGTAGCGTTCGTAAACTGAAATCAAAAATTTCGTCTCTCCCCTTACTTCCTCTTTCCTGCTGAACAAGCTATGTGCGAAGAACTGGGTGAGACAGGATTCTAGTGTAACCAAATCAATCGGTAAGTCTAGATTAAATGCCAAAGCTGGGTTTTGACATTCAAATAAAACCTCAAAGGCTCTTTTAGAAACTCACCTGATTTCACTTTCAAGTGACCCTCTGTGCTGATCTGTATTTTACACAAATGTGTAAATGGATCAGACCTTCTTTTCCAGCATTGCAATTAGAATTGGCAGGTTTAAAAACGATGAGAACAGGTAAGATTTAGCTCAACTCACAAATTATTATTATTGCTCATATTTTAAGGATATTAAACACTTGCATCATGTAGTTCAGCTCAAATCTCGAACAGTTTGGCTTGTTGAGGAGAGGTATGCTATTACCTTTCTATGCAAACAACTTTTGGCCAATTAATGATAAAATGCCCCAAAACATCCCATAGACTTGCAAGCAATGTAAATGTAGTTTTATTGAAAAAGCAGAACACTCTACCAGCATTTGGGTTGCGTGCCATCTCATTTCAACTTAACACACTGTCCAACAAATTATTCATTGTTTACTGTTGGGTTTACATTCATGTTTTAGAGAAAAAAATAATAATTTCTAACACTTTGATTTTGAAATAACAATCAAAATGGATAATTAAATTATTTTTCATATAAACCCATGAATACTGTAAACATACAGTAAACTGCCAAAAATCAATGCGCACTAAGTGGGGTGTTTGGTCAATCATTTACGTTGCCTTTAGTCTCAAAATAGTCTTATGACGTGACATTCCAGTGTATTTTGACCCCATTCTTGATCACTGAGTTTACAGACAGTTCTTCCTAATGCAATACAAACAACAGAAACCAGGAACACTTCACAAACAAAAACAAAGTCCTTTTAAATTGAGATTTAAAAGACTTCCTCATTGCTGTCCACCCGCATTAAAAGTCTGATTAAAAGCAAACCTAAATAAATATATGTAAGTGTTTGATTAAAAGTAAAGGAATTTATATCAAACCAGATGATACAACTATAGTCAAAAATAAACCCCACTCAATCATTAGCTCAGCTAAAACGGTCAGTGGTGACTACCAAGGTTGAATGCAGGTCAAAAATTATCTAAAATTTTGAGGACACAATGCTAAATTTAAACACATCTGCATACATCTGTGAGGTTTTGGATTGCTCGTGTTGTAACTGCAAAATATTCATATCCAAAAGGCGGAATTTATCAATTTGAAATGTAAATCACAAAAATGTGCAAAGAAATAATCAGAAGGGCTTTAAAAAAAATTAAACAGTCTGCAAGAAATATAATCAATCAATGAAACCCTGATTTACACAGCTTATACGTCACAGTTCAGAGAGCAAGTGGCCTCATCTGCTCAAAATAGCTCCACTGTAAGAGGTCAAAACAGACTGTCTTGAATGATTTGACACACAAATTAATCAATTACATGATAGATTTATCTTAAAGGTAAAGTACAATAATTCTGCCATATGGAGTCTACACAATCTCTCCAGCTTTTGCGTAACCACTTAAGGTTGCGTTTAAATATCAATATACTTCCAGGTTTAAATTTTAGTTTTGGTATAGCCTATAGTTTTAGTATTTATAACGATAACTGATTATCCTGTCTAATAAAAACAAAAGCCGGTTTGTCAGGCCGGTCTGTTAGCCTGTTTTAGCAATGTTGGGATATCAGCTTAAATCGGGTAGATCAGTAAACCATTTTTGACTGATTTAAGCTCGCTTTTTAAAAGAAGTGTTATTTTACAGATGCAAGTCACTAAAGGTGTAGGCATTACGGCATCTATACAGCTGATTAGAAACAATAGGCTATATATATATATATATATATATATAGCCAATTTCTTTGTATATTTTTGAAAATATCTTTAAAAAATATATATTTTTTAACAAATAAAACTCAAATAACACAAATAAAACTGCGTTGATTCATAATTTCCCATGCACTGCGAGCGAGAGTGATGTGTAGCGCGAGCGCTCTTGACTATTCGCGCTCAAAGTTAAACGCTCTCATTGTAATAATCAAAGCCGTCTAAGACGCGCTATTCTGCCTTTATCGCGTCAAAAGCTAAGTACAAAATATGTATTCGTAATAATACCTGTATTTGATTTCCGCTGTTAGTCTCAGATGAATCTCACCTGTTCCTCCTCAGAAGATTAGAGTCTGAAGCGGCGCTCTTGCAGGTAAACTAGGGAGCGGCGACCCACCTTTCTTTTCTTTTCTTTCTTTTTTAACTCGTTCTCTCCCAAACTCACAGCGTTTTATGGTTCACAAGGACAAATACGCAAAGTTATTGCGGTGTAAATCGAAAGTGGTGTATCCTTTGTAACTTTATTCCTGCATTTAGCTCTAAACAGTACACCGACCATCTGTCACGCTCAGGGACAAGGCAGAGGACACGGCTGGCTGTGTTTTCACACATACAGTGCCTATGTGTGGGTAGGGTGGGAGTTGTTCTGAACTTGTTTGGGTTTAAAGCACTGAAATGAGATTTGGAGGCCTTCAGGAAGAACTCATTTGTTTTGTAAACGTGCCTGTGGCTGAGAGGCATAGTAACAGGATTGGACCAGCTGTCATATGTTCTCTTGGTTGTTGCGAGTACACTCTTAAAAATAAAGGTGCTTCACGATGCCATAGAAGAACTTTTTTGTCTAAATGGTTCCATAAAGATCCTTTAACATCTGAAGAACCTTTCTGTTTCACAAAAGGTTCTTTGTGGCGAAAGAAGGTTCTTCAGATTATAAAAAGGTAAGAAAGAGATGGTTCTTTAAAGAACCTTTGACTGAATGGTTCTTTGTGGAACCAAAAATGGTTCTTCTATGGCATCGTTTGAAGAACCTTTTGAAGCACCTTTATTTTTAAGAGTGTAGACAAATAGAGGTACAATTACATATAGCTTATAGGCATATAATAGTGACTCAGTAAAAGTCAGCTCATAGTGAAAAATGTGTGTTCCCTCAATTTCTAAATTGAGCTCATGGTTATTCCAACCCGATCTCATGAAAGTGCGTATAAATAGTACGCCAAACAAAAACGAAAACACGTGGTATTGATACGCAAAAATTGACTTTGGCGTGTGTATGCTACGCGATGGGTAGGTTTAGGGTTGTGGGGTAGATGCGTATCATGTACGCGAAAACTGCGTATCATATGCACGCCAACAAATTTCGTATCATATCCACGCGAAAACTGCGTATTATATGCACGCCAAACACATGCGTATCATATGAACGCCAAAGTCAATTTTTGCGTATCAATACCACGAGTTTTCGTTTTTATTTGGTGTACTGTTTATACGCATTTTCATGAGACCGGGCTCGTTATTCTCATGAATTATAGCCAAAATATAGCGGCATAAAGTCATCTGAGGCCCTTAAGATATATTTGAAGCTTAATACAGTGCTGGTTTTGTGGGAAACATTTGTCTGCAACTGATGTAGCCAGACTAACAATGGCTCTGAAACCTGATACGGATGCACTGAGAGCTGCACTCCCACTGTGCCTCTCCTTTGTCTTCAAACTAATTCCTAGCTATTCCCAAACAAGAGTGGAACTACAGTGATTCTTGTTAGATCTGCAAAGGGTTAGAGAGTTAGAAGCAATTACGCACACTGACAATCACTGCGTTCATCCATTTCTTGTGATATTCAAACAAAAGTAAAAAACATCATGTTTCAGTTAAACTTTGAGAGTGGCCCTGTCCACTATAACTCAAATGCTTTGAAATGAAGCAATGTTCAGAGAAACTGAGAACATGAGAAGGAACTACTAGATTCCCTGGAATTGTGTTATGAAACTGAAATGAGCATTCTATATTTAGTAATTTTTCTATAGAAAGATATTTCTATAAAAAGTAGGCCAAATATATCTCTCTTTCACTCTCATCTGTCTCTGTCCTCCCTCCAAGTTTCAGTGGCTTTATGACAAACAATTTAAATTACCAAGGTAGTAGAGAATGAGACGATTTGAAAATGACAACAAAACCCCCTCTCTCATTCTTTCTTTCATACTCAGTCTTTATCTCTCTTCTCCCTGGCTTTCTGTCACATTTCAAGCTTTGGGATCATTTACTGTTTTTGAAACTGAGAAGCTGAAAACATCTGTGCTAACAATAGTAGCCTTGCAGCTACAACACCAAGGCTGACTCAGATCCCAAGATCTGTGCTAACAGTGTCCCAGGAGATTAACGTGTTCCCTTTGAAGTGTACATGCAACCACCACAAATGTATTCTGAAACAAATAACACAATTAACCCCTTAGCATTCCTGTAAAATTTGCCTAAAACGCTTACGGTGGAACACTTGCAGGTTAAGAATATTGTCTCATATTCAATTTCTGGTTTGAATATGATTGAAAACATTGCCTGCTAGAAGTGAGATGCATTTATATCCCGTATTCTTAAAGAGACAGTTGACACAAAAGAAAACCTAACCCTGTTGTGACATGCCCTGTAGTTCTTATTAATTGAACTCTGTGGCACAGTGTTCAAACCTCTAAAACTTGTTCACACACAAAGGAATCTGCGCCCTGATAACCTGTAAGCCACAGGCAAGTGCATTACAAACATAGTGAATGCAAATAAAAATGGTAACTGGATTTTTATGTTTTCTTTGGATACAGTTTGCAGAGTAGTGGCTATCATGCTGTTATGTACACCTGACTGCATAGTTAGCTACGTTTTTATAGGATGAGTTATAGACGTCTTTCATAGGCTAAAACACACAAGCTTTACCATATGCCCTTCCCTCACTGTAGGAAAAGCTGTAATATCCTGTTCTGATGTCATGTAGGAGGGTGTTATTGTTAACACCCATTGTTAACCATTGGTGTCATTGTTTTCAATGCTTTATTTCATGTAGCTCCAAAAACAGCTGAGTAACTACTTCTTAAGTGGATAAAATGTCACTTTGATGGTGATCTGATCACATTAATATCATGTCTCTCTATAAATTCTGTTGAAAAAGTTGAAGATATGATTTTGGGTGCAAGTTCATTTATAGTGAAACATCGTTCTTAACGGAAAAGCGTACTGCTTTGCTTGGATTGGATATGCAGCATGCCAACATTGCCTCCCAGTGGCCCACTTTGATAACATGTCTAAACATTTCCTTTGATACACACTTCCTGTTCTACTTCCTTCCCTCATAAGGTTTTATGCCCTGTTGCTTACCAATCCTGCCAAACTGAGATAACGTGTCAAAAATAGTTTAAATAACAAAAGTCATTATTTAATCCAATACAGCACTTCCTTTGTTCAACAATATAAGCAGACTGCAAATGTCTGTATACCGTAGTACGATGATATTCCATTCTGGCTAACTTTCATACTTTTCTCTATCCAAGACAGAAGACAAATTTTAACATTACAGTGTATGTGAAACGCAAGAATGTAATTGGGTTTAAATGATTTATCACATCCTTCAGCAACAGCACTGATTTTCTGTACAGAAATACGTCAGTATGGTTTAAGGAACTGATAAAAGTGAAAGTTTGAAAGATAAACCAATGCTTCAAAGAGGATTTGAAAACATGCGTTCTTGTTTTCATCCGCAGGCCGATCCTGTAAGGCTGTAATCTGTAAGGTATACATGATCTTCAAAAAATGTCAAGACCCTTTAACTTTGTTAATTCAAAGTTTGACTTTTCTAGTCAAGAATTACACTTGCTGCAGTCAAATTTCAATTTATTTACATTCTGCTTCCCTAAATATATTCTGTTTGCTGGAAAGGAATAAGAATTTAAAAGGCATTCTCATATAGCTAAAACTGTACCTTTATTGTTGGAGGTGAGCATGATGTGTTGGTCTGAGGGTTTGGCAATCCAGCCGGTGCTTTGTCTGTCAGTGTCGACAGGTCTAGATTCAGGTCCGATATGGATTCATAAATATTCTCAGAATCTGGTGATGGCAGTGGTTCTGAGCTAGAGCTTTCACTTTCTGGCTCTTTTTGGTATTCTGGCTCTGGAGACTTCATGTGAGGCTTGGTCTCGTTTAGGTTCTTGATGACAGGGAGCTCCACAGGTTTTACAGGGATAGGTTTATGGAGGGGGTCAGCTGGGCTGAAGCTGGGCACTCGAAACTTATCAGGCACCATTTCAATGCGAGAGCCGAACAGCAGATTAGTTGCTTGACTCATCCTCTTCTTCTGATTTGATGAGTCTGAGGCTGAAACCGTGTTCAGGGAGATGAGGGAGTCTGAAGGTCCACCATGTTTGTAAGAAGGGGGCTCATGTAAATCCAAAGGAACTCCAAATGTAGACATGCGGTTTTCTGTCTTATGGTAATTCCCTTTGGAGTGATGTCTAATTGTCACCTCATCTGATTTGTGGGTCTCTGCGAGGTCAGGCACCACAGGCTTCACAGCGGGGCCTGGAGGCTCTCTGAAGTCTAGAGGTGAAGGGATGTTGGCTGGAAGCTCCTTTACGTATTTAGCAGGGATATAAAATGGCTTGGCTCGTTCATCTTTGCAAACATGCCACCAATGATTGTTTGTTTTGGCCAGGAGGACGTACCGCTCGTTGGGTTTAATGGACACCATGTGGCCATCCCGGCCTTCGTATTCATATTCAAACTCCACCAGTACCAGGCCCAGACTGTGTAAGGACGTCATCTTACCCTATTCACCCCTTGAGGGAATCACGCTGGAATCAAGGCTCAGGAAAGGCCCTCCTGTGGGTAGAAAACAAATGAGAGGATTATAAAAAGCAATTTGAGAAGACGACACAAATTACTGTTTATTTGCTGCCTCACATTTGAGTCATGAGCAAAGAGCACCTGCTGTATAAATGCAAAAACAACAGCACTTTGGCTGACCTTTCTACTGGTCCAGCTGTTCAGACTTTGCCCAACAAGCCTTATTCTATCAAACTGAGATCATGCTGCTCCTTTCACAATGTTATATATAAAGTTTTATGAACTGTCATACATAGTAGAAACAAAGTACACTAGAAATTGCTGGTAAATTTCACAAATACAAAGAAACAGCAAGTATTGTTTTTTAACTTTTCACCGTAGGACTGTGTCCAAAAAAAAAAAAATAATAATAATAAAAAATCTGAAATGGTAAGTTTTTGCAAAATTCACTGCTAAGTCATTTTAAGCTAACAGTGGAGATCTCTAACCTCCACCTTTTGTCAACAGCTGATGTTTTAAGGCAGGAAACTGTGATGTGGTGCGCTGATATGGACCAATAACTGAGGTTAAATGCCACAGTTCTGATCAATGACCTGGAGCAACCAATCTAGCATGACCTCCACAGACACTCAAAAAAGATCAGAGCACCTTTTTTGGAATGTTATATTAATTCAAATCACATCATAATTATATTCATTTTAATTCATTTTATATATGTTTTAAATTTTAAAGTAATATATTTATTAGTAGTATTACATTTATATATTAAATGTATATGTGTTTATAGGATTATACCAATTGACAGTTTATCTGTTTACAGAATACTCAAAGTACTTAAAGAGATTCACCCTTGACGCAACAACGGTTGTTTAATGTTTGCTCAGCCACCTCTATCACTTGTTAATCTTTTTTATGTGGTTTGATTACTGCCTGTAAAGGAAAGGAAGTTGACTATAATACGAAAGACAGATAACAGCACAGTGTCAGTAATCAAAGTGCTATTTGGAATCAGCTGCCAGCAAATTATGTCTGATCTGAGATCTGAGATATAGACACAGGATATTATGTCATTGACATTTAAAAAAACATTGATTGATCTAATTGCCAAAGCACCGGAGAGGTGATGCATTTTGTCAGTTCTAATGTAAATATTACATTGCTGCACCTTAGTTTTTCATTTTCTGATGACCGCTATTTCACTTGATCTTTTTAAAAGTCTGGTTTTCATGGTGGCTGTTTTTAAAAGACTTCCTTCCTCTTGCATGTCTAATACAAAGAGAGAGAGAGAGAAAGGAAGACATGCTGCATTGTCAGCAACAAACATTTGCTTTCTACTGATTTGAGATGTGTGTATTCTGGTTATATCTATGGTCATATAAGTATATACTTGGTTGTATAAATAAATGTGAAACGTCAGAGCTTGGTCAGGAGCTTCTTGTCATGCTAAGATGTCAAGTCCTTCACCCCCAGTGTGCCATGTTCCTTTTAAACATCCAGTGTGTAGTAGTTGTTTGAAACTGTATCAAATCAAAGCAAGCTTGCTTCTTCAATCAAACAATTCTCCATGGATCTTAAATGTAGTTCTTTTATGTCTAATCACAGAACTGATTCCAAACCACAATATAGACGCATTTGCTCTGGGGCCCTTTCAAGAGATTTCAGACACTATGGGTCAAAATAGATCTATATTTAATGGTTTGAAAATAATTATTTTAATATTATACAAATCATGTATTAAATACATTTATTTATTTGATTAATCACTTAACATCGATGTATGTAAGCTAATAGTAAAAGGGTGTCTCTCTAGAATTTCTTGTCAGACCTGATGTCTTTGTCCTATGAGAGCGAGTGACAGATCAGATCATGACAGATCATAATTTATATGAAACTTGGGTTTTAAAAGCTTTGATGTTTGAGATGGATGCATTTGTATTTAGATTATGTATTTTATCATTCAAATTCCAACTTCATGTGGGACAGATAAGTTCATATTCCAACTCATAAATTGAAAGGAAGCCAATTTTTCAAATCTGAATTTACAATGTCTAAGAAACTCTCAAAAGCAGTTCATTTGTGAGATGTGTAAAGCACTCTTTATGCCAGCAGTTTACACCCTCACATCCACTACTGAAATGGAATGTAAATTGAAACTTACAAACTTTGTCACTTTTGTGCCACAGAAAGATGAATTTAATAACTATTTAACTGATACGGCATCAATCAAATTTGTCTCTAGACATATGAAAGGAGAAAGATCTTTGTAGTCTGTTGTAGACTTTATCAGCCTCTTGCCAAAACAACATCAGCTGCTGTTTTTTAACAAGTCAAGACATGTCTCCCGAGAGTCAGGCGAGATGAAGAAACACCACCCTTGCACATCATACCAAGAGAGTTTGTAGACAAACACAGCAGTCCTTCCTTAAATAGGGAAGTTAACAGAAGGCCAGAACACCTTCTCGCTTCATAAACCAAGGGGTGGCAATGGATGGAAAGGAGGACTTGTGGTCTACCAAAGGAGGACATTGCATAATCCATGAAGGAAGTGGCCAAAATCACCACTACACATTTGATTCTGAGAATGCTTCTTCTCCATACTGATTTGCAGATACTGTATGTCAACTTAGATCTCAGACTGGTTACTTAATGTATTTCACAAACAGTTCAGCTTTGAAAGGGACAGCCAGAACTTGTTTGACAACCTTTGAGTCTGGAGTTGAACAGCAGCAGAGCAAAAATGACAGAAACACCAATGCATGATTCATCATATTAGAGCTGTTCAAAAAAATCACCTTGGAATCTGCACAAGCTGTATTTGGGGGGGATGGAGTGTCCTTCCAGTTGAAAATGGTTGTTAGTGTAGAACAATTGGAGGAGGCCATTCCCATTTAGACACTGTTTAAACACGGAAACTCCTTGTTTGTCTCTAGCCTGGCTTGCTTTGACCTTGCTGTGCTGTCTGGTTCTCTTACAGGATGTTCACGGCGGGGGAAAATGGGTCTTTATGTGATGCGTTCACTCACCCCAGCACCCATTTTTAGAATTCAATTTAGGGCTGTCCTAACACATATTATCTCCTGTCACATATAGTCAGCCAAAGTTCTTCAGCATCTCCATTCTGGTATACAGAACAAAAAAAAGATACAAGAACAAAAAAATATGTAAATATTAAAAGCTATTGTTTTCCCCTCCTTGTGCTTGTTACATTTTTGTGAGTATGCGAGAGACGGTATAAACAATGTTAAAAGAATTGTTGAACTATATATTAACAAAAGTTTTGTGTGACGTAGAGAATAAAGGCTGGAATACACTACATGACTTTTTCCCCGATTTACAGTTTGGATAGTTTACTCTACTTGCTGAAAGTCAGAGCCAGTCTGCAGATTTGAGTTGAGAGATTTCATAGAAAATCGCATAGTGTATGATGGTCATAGACTATTTTTTGAGCATCCGACTCTGATTCCATCCAGTTTGAAGATATCAATCAGGTTTGATATTTTCAGCCGTTTTTTGAACATATGTTGTTTTCAATTTTCATTTGTCTCCTAGCAACAATGCGTATGTTTCTGTGTGAGTTTGTTGGGATCGGAACGACTTTAAAGTCTGGTAGTATTTGATCCTCATTCGTTTATTGTATGATGGCCAGTTTTTCCTCTGTGACTATTACAAAGTCAGTAAGTGTATGATGCCTAACGTTTTAAAATCTGTTCAGATTTTAAAAGTTGTTCAGCTTTAACTTGTTATTTGTTGAAAATGATCCAATCTAATTTGTTCATGTGTGCATTCATACATGCACCAGGTTTGATGTCAATGATCTCCAACTTTATTGTCTGCATGAAGTGTGATAGGAACTCAATGGGATGAGAACGGAGGAGATATTCAGCAACTTGACAACTTTACACTTAAAAATAAAGGTTCCAAAAAAGGGGGTTTTGCAGCAATGCCATAGAACATGGGTGTCCAGACTTTTTTTAAAGGGGGCCAGATTCAATGATGTGGACACACCAAGGGGCCAGATGCTTCATTCATACATACATACATACATACATATATATATATCTCTGTGTGTGTGTGGACAGTTGACAGCATTAGTGTTGAGGATAGGTTGAAGATATCAATCAGGTTTGATATTTTCAGCCGTTTTTTTAACATATGTTGTTTTCAATTTTCATTTGTCTCCTAGCAACAATGCGCATGTTTCTGTGTGAGTTTGTTGGGATCGGAACGACTTTAAAGTCTGGTAGTATTTGATCCTCATTCGTTTATTGTATGATGGCCAGTTTTTCCTCTGTGACTATTACAAAGTCAGTAAGTGTATGATGCCTAACGTTTTAAAATCTGTTCAGATTTTAAAAGTTGTTCAGCTTTAACTTGTTATTTGTTGAAAATGATCCAATCTAATTTGTTCATGTGTGCATTCATACATGCACCAGGTTTGATGTCAATGATCTCCAACTTTATTGTCTGCATGAAGTGTGATAGGAACTCAATGGGATGAGAACGGAGGAGATATTCAGCAACTTGACAACTTTACACTTAAAAATAAAGGTTCCAAAAAAGGGGGTTTTGCAGCAATGCCATAGAACATGGGTGTCCAGACTTTTTTTAAAGGGGGCCAGATTCAATGATGTGGACACACCAAGGGGCCAGATGCTTCATTCATACATACATACATACATACATATATATATATCTCTGTGTGTGTGTGGACAGTTGACAGCATTAGTGTTGAGGATGTAAAAATTTTAAATCTGTAAATATTTTAACAATCTAATTTTTAAAGGGTAACATTTAAAGATTATAATATCTAGAATGACTTTATAGTATTTAGTCCATAAACAAATGTATTTAGTAAATAGAAATGCACAAAACTGCTTATAACAAAAATGTCTGTAATTTGGCCTATATTTCATTACTCCCTTACATTACCTTCAATATGCCTACATGTCTACATTAATAATATAATAAAATTCGACATGAATATCCTGCATTTCTGCCACAATACCACAGTTACAGTTAGTGTTACTAAAGTAAATCCATTGTAAATGTTTGTGATTTGTGTATTTAAAAATATTCTAACTGGATTGTTGTCGCACGGTGCTTCTCCTGTTTTCCGTGTCAGTGTTGTTGAGAATGTCAGCGTTGTTTCATCTGCTTTTAAACTAGTTTAAATCACCGCAACATCTGTGGTTTGTATCGGAGACCTCTTCCCCAAACTCAAACGCTTCTCAAGGAATCTCAGTGCTGTTTAGTGGTCGCATGATCGAGACCAGTCACAGAGTAAACGCATTTGTTCTGAGCTGTGGGCCATTTGAAATTCATCCACGGGCCGTACTTTGGACACCTCTGCCATTGAAGAACTATTTTGGGTTCCCCAAAGAACCTTCCAATGAACAGTTCTTAAAAGAACCATGAAGAACATTTAAATAATCTAAAGAACCTTTTGTGCATTTAAAAGGTTCCGTGGATGTTAAAGGTTCTTCATGGAACTATTGACGCCAATAAAGAACCTTTATTGCTTGGTCATTCATGCTAAGCTATCGTGTAATTTCAGAAGACTTGGAATATGGTGAATAATTAATATGGACTACGTTTACAATGATTTTTCAATCTATTTGGGCCACTAATTTGTCTACTTTTGTTGTATGGAAAAGAAAAGCCTGGACATTCTGCCTCACATCACCTTTTGTGTTCCATGAAAGAAAGAAGTAAGGGTGAGTAAATGACAGAATTTTCTAAAGTTGACCAGTTAGCCAATCTCAGATGTGTACAGTTAAAATGCTTGTAATTTACGTACGAGTCCAAACAAAACCTGCTGTGATTTCAGATTTTAACCCACACAAAGCAGTGGCCTCAGAAAGTCAGAAGGGTTATTCTGAAGTGTGCACACAGCAAAGACCTGAGGGAGAAAATTAGATTCTCTTCGGAATGTGCAGTGTACTCGGATAGCTGTACCAGATCTGCGGTGTTCCAGTTTTCCTCCACACCCACACGCACCAGCCCAGTCACCTCAGGAATGCAGAAAGAGCACTTTTACTCACTGCGCAGTCTACACATGGGCGTAGAATACGCAGGGGACTGTATTCTAAAAAACGTAAATTCATCCCTGCACTTTTTCGGATAAGTGTGTTTACGTAGAGGTTTTCAGGGGCCAGTGTGAATAAATCTAAATTTAAATTCAAAGAGAAAAGATAGTCTATGCATGACCTGACGTTTTATTTGTATCCAAAATGAGGAGATGTGAACATCATGGAGTGCTAAACTCTCTCATGCAGTGTATGTTTCATTCATACTCAAAGCTGGAGGGTGCTCGCATGCAGAAAGACTCATAGAAGTAATAACTTATGACGTGCAGGAAACACCTAATATGGACAAAGGCATCCAGCTATCGCTGAATAAATAATGTCAAGACAATAAACACGATTGTGACAATATATGGTTTATGTGTGTTTTCAAGTCATCTTCATGTTATAAACAAAGTATCTGATCTTTCTGATACTAAACAAAGTATCTCTATCTTTGTTTATTACCACGCATTTACTACAGTAGCCTATAAAAACTATAAATATGTTTTTGTCTTATTCTGTGATTTAAAAAAAAGTGTAGTAGCCTATATGAACAAATAATAAAATTGCCATTAGGAAAAATATTACAGAATACAAATTATTGGTTATTATCCAGCAGTTTATTTGACTTCTTAGCAAATTAAAAGTAAGAAAAGTAAATAAAACCTGTTAATTAGACAAAAATAAAAAATAAAGATATGATTACATTTGACATTTCTGTTCCCTTCACTTCTGAAAGATGGCTACGCCCCTGAGTCTACACAACTTAAATGTTTAAAACATTTCCTCTCAGAGGGAATACCTTATTTATACACAGAATGGATTAAGCATGCATACAAAATGATTCTTATCTTTCTTCACAGGTTCCATTGAGCACACGAAGCTGAATACTGACATAAATATCTTTTATCTTCATTTCATCTATCAGCTTGACGGTGATAGTTTGCAATTGGTGATCAACTTGTGACACTGTGATCACAGATTCAGCACATAAAATGCCAAAAAATCAAGTGCTGCTTACAATATGCAGATTATGCACTGATTTTCTGGTCTCACATCACAGTGTAAGATGGCTCACTTTGCCTTTTCTTTGTAAACTGCAACAAGTTGTTTATGTGCACATATAGCCATTTGTCATGCAACAAGACAGGAAAAAAGGAAAGTAGCTGTTATGTAAGACTTTAAGTAAAAGTATAAAAATAAATGGCAAAGTACCTCAAGACAGAATGTATATTATGCACATCTTAACCAAATAAGTACTCAGAAGTTAAAAGAAGTTTACCTGCTGAGGCAGGATCGGCGCACCATCTTCTCCACGCCTTTGTTTTTCTCTCTTCTTGTTCAAGTTACATTTGTAAGATCCGTCTCCTGTTCTTCTTCTTTTTTCTTTAAATCTCTTTTCCTTTCTCAGTCCGCTTAATGTCTTAGACAGGCTTCAGTCTTTCACCAACACCGCTTTGTCGTTTCACCTACAGCTCAAAGTTCCAGCTCTGACAGTTGTTGCTCAGGGCCAGTGTGTGTCCGTGTGTGTGTGTGTATGTATTGTGGGCGGGTGTGTATACATGCTAGAACTTTGTGCCAGTTTCAGCTTGCCTGTCTCCTCTGTCTGCATTCATTTCCTGTTCCAGCACACACATCACAGCTTCAGAAGAGTGAGAGTTAGCAACAGGAAGAGAGAGAGAAAGAGAGATGAGGGTATGGTTCAACTGAGTCATTAGGAAGAAGCAGGGCCATCCTTAGGGGGGTGCAACTGGTGCGGTCGCACCGGGCCCTGCGCTTGAAGGGGCCCCGCGGCGAACGGACCGAGGGGGACCCCGCTCCCTACCTCGCACCGCGTCAGCTAAGGACGGCGCCCTGGGAAGAAGAGCCTTGCAAAATTATTAACTAATTGCTATTCCACGAAAGCAATAACTCTGACAAGATGATGTTCTTTATCAAATAGGTGCAACTGCCTCACTTTCTGTACCATGTGGTTGAAGCTGTGTTCCACCTCGTCAACAAATCAGGTCACCGGAAAGTTGGTGGGTGAAATCAATTAACAAAACCATCAGATAGGAACACATGGCTGAGACTACAACTGTCAGGAACTTAGAAATTGTTTTCTCGCCTGCAAAAAGAAAGTTTGCTTTCTTCTCCACTGTTCACTCACATTAGTAGACGTTTCTTGACATCGTTCCAGTTCTAGTGAGCTGTAAAAAGGTATTTTTAGGCTAGCCTGTATAGAACCTCTCAGAGTGATTCCCTTTAGTCTCATGCACAGCTGAATGAAAAACATCAGCTATTGCGAGAGTTCTCCATGCAGTTTCTATGAATAACACCCAGTGGTTGATTCACACCCATTTGGGCTCTGGTGGTTTCTTCCCTCCCTTCCAGTTTGCACAACCTCTGATCACTTTTAAGCTGCACAAAACTGAACAACTACTAAATACGATTAAGAAATCTTGTACTGAGCACTGAGGGGCAACCAGGAACCAAAAGGTCAATACTCACCCTCAGATGTATGGGCATGACAACATGTCCCACCCCAGAAAAAAAAAAATGTTTTCTGGGTGGGCCATGTGAAGATTTTCTGATGCCTTTGGACTCTGGTACTTTCAGTGAATGCTGTCCTGGAATAAAAGGTTAATATAAAAAACATTTTTAGGATAAAGAGATAAATCAGCTGCAGCTAGGTCATAAAATAATGTTCTAGTTACTCAAAATTGATTAGTGAACACATAATGGACAGTTTAATATTACATGGTGCATTTAGCATTGTTGCAAACTGAGTGTGTGGTTAGAAAATTTTGAGAAGTTGTGTAAACAGCACCTTTAACTATTACATACAAGTAAATGTATAAAAGAAAATTAATTTAGAAAAATATGTCACAGGCAATACATCATTCTGAATAAAAAAAAAGGAAACTATAACAGTCATAGCTATTCATGCACTGTAAAACATTTCCAGCTGGTTAAATTTACAAATGAAAGTTCACCTGCCTTAAAAACATGGTACACTAAAAATAGGTAAACTCAACATGACCTTTATTTGAACTCACAAGTAGCCAAGACAATGGATTTCTTTAAATTTTATTGATTTCTTTAAGTTTAATTTTGAAAACTTATAAACTTCATTTCAAAACCCAAAACAAGTTCAGATAACTTAAGCAAAATTATTCACAATCAGAGAGTGTTTCCGACTTTTGAGTTTGGCTAAGAAGTGTGGGCAAACACATTTTTGCACTTTACAGAGCTTACGGCTGTCACTTTGTTGCTGAGACTGGTGTGATTTAGTAACGTCTGTCAAATAGTTTTATCAAATTTGATTTAGTAACGTCTGTCAAGTAGGCCTACTCTTTTCTTTTTTGGCAAACTATCTATTGTTATACCGTAAAATGAAGTGTTTCTGAGTGTCAGTTTTTATGAGAGCTGTAAGGTCTTGGTGTTTTGGAAGGGTGATGATGAATGATTCACATGGCAGAATTCAGAGAACACAAACTATTTCTGACTGGAGAGGGTGCATTGTGATGTCTTATACAGTGCGTTCCAAACTGGATATATCGCCCTCTGAAGGGCACTTCGGAGTGAAAACAATCAAGGCCGCCATATTGAAGGGTCGTTCCAAACCGAAGTGCTCAAAACTGGCCACTTCAAAGGGCCCTTCTGAATGAAGAAGTTCGAAGGGTACAACTGATGGACACCTTGGGCTCCCATGATCCTTCGCGCAGATTCTTTGCATGATGACGGAGCCTCCTTGTGGGCACGTGACGACGAAGAAGGGCACTTCAAGAAACAGTTGTTTGGTCCCCTACACCCTTCAACCCTTCGAAGCTCTCACTCCGGAGGGTAAACCCTTTGAAGGGATTAGGGCATAGGGATGAGCCCCTCCGAACGGAACGCAGGGATAGTTGATGATATCATTTGTGTCACGTGGGAAACAATTTGAACTATACAAATTATTTTCTCTATCAAAATGTATTATTATAAAATGTATTACTTATGGTGCAGCCAAAACTGATTATTATACATTATTATTGAACAACCAAAAAAAACAAAAATGTCAGCACACTGAAAGACACACAATTAGACCAAGGCAGGGGTCTCTCACAAAAATTACTTTAATTTAACATCTACAGGGTGACAAAAGTGCAAAAAAAGTGAAAAGTGTCTTAAAAACAGACCAAAGAGCAGACGTTTCAGCTCATGCTGCTCTTTGGTCTGTTTTTTCAGTTAATCCAATTTTTCTTGATTTTTGCACCTGAGAACTGACTGGTTATCCTTTTGGAGCGCATACAATATTTTTTTTGATTTTTATACATTATTATTAAAATTATGTATAACCATATTTTGTTAAAAAAAAAAAAAAAGTTTATAAAATAGTTAGAAAAGCTTATTTTGCACTGCCCCCTACCGACTGAGCTTTGCAATAACGCGGGGGTGAAAAATACTAATAATGATTTGAGATATTTTAGATTTTAGATAGATACTGAAATAGTGCTGTCGGAGTTTTACTTCAGGACGGTAATTAAAATAAGCTGTATGTTTTCTGTTTTAAGAGTGTATTGTTATTGGATGATTAGCTAATATTCCCTAATTACCAGTGTCGCAAAAGTCTGTTCATTAAAAAGAGTAAATCCCATGTGTTACCTTTGGTTTGACCACAATATTGGTATTTAAAGCATCATAAAATTAATTCTCTACTTTAAGCTTTTATAGGCTATGTAAAGACACTCAGTTTTACATTTAACATGAGAATTTTTTCATTTTTAATTTATTATTAGTTTTAATTTTGCCATATTTAACAACAGTTAATAGCTTATATTAAGATCAAAATTCCTTCATATATTATTTATTATGAATATTATTGGAAAGAGCAACAATGATTTGGCCCTTCAAGATGAATGGTGATTTTTTTTCTAAATGTAGCATAAGAAACTTTGACTGGGATTTTGGAATTAATTTTCTGGACAGGACAACGAAAGATATACGTAATTAACTAATTGTCCTTTAAACTGAAAACCACACTTTGCTTACATTTTCCCTTTTCACTGTTTATTTATTTATTTGTATGAGGCCAATATTTCGTATTTAGCCTAGGTGTAGCTACAAACTAGCTTTTTTGTTTTTCAACAAATGTAGCCTATTCGTCGTCCATGAGGCACAATAATGTGATTTGCACAAACAGAATATGTTTCTGGATTAAAATGATTTGATTCTTTTAAAAAAAAAAGGGAAAGGAAATTTGCAGCATCGATAAACGATTTTTAAACAAAGTATGGAACAAAAATCAATTGCGTCATAATATGCGGCTCATGTGGAATTGCTAAAGGAATTCTACGGGAGAGCGTACACAGGTCATTGTGGAAACTGAAAGTGAAACGCTCTGTATGTAAACAATGCCCTGTAACAATGAGGAATTACCTCCCGATCCAGTTGTGTCATCACAAACGGTTTGGTTATGTCACTCTGAGAACACATATACAGCCGCTTTTAAATCGTGTTTTAAAATTAATTTTTGCATATATATCTAACACAAAACAGGAAGACACAGAATATACAGGTATAGATAACGTATGGATAACATAAATAATAGGCTATCATAATTTATTATTAATATTCATTTGTTTCGTAAGTATTGACATACATATGATGTCATTGTGTCTACATAGTGATAGTGGATGAAAGTCCCAGTTTGACTCCTATCCATCTCATTGCCTTTTCAAGGTGAGAAAAAAGAACGCCCACCACGACGAACAGAGGCACGTGATTCTTTCATTTTCTCCTTCTGAAACTTCCAATTATAATACCGCTGGGCTTCCCGCGCTGTCACCTGCTGAATGGCATGCAAATTTAGTAGGGTCATTTCTTTCTTTCCTTTTTATTTTTTATTTGGAGAACAATATATAGCCAGAGTTTTGCCATAAGATAGTATCCATAGGCCTATCCTATAGTCATAACGTTTGCTCTGCACTGTACAGCTGTCAATACAAAACCACAATGAGAACTTTTTTGTATTTTCTGTGGATTATCATGTCTCCGTCCATATTTGCAGAATCCTTTATTCAGGAAAAGGAGACAATTTCTCAAACAATTAAATTTCTGCATGCACTGGTAAGGCTAATCTATCTATCTATCTATCTATCTATCTATCTATCTATCTATCATCTGTGTGTCTATTTAAAAATGTGTTAAGCACTCGTCAACATCTTTTTTTTTTTTTCTTCTCAAAGGGCCAAGGAGCATGTCTACGTGACGTGGAAAAAGCGATGTCTTATCGGTTCACGAGTCTTCCGAGTAAGGTAGGCAACAATATAAAAATACAAGAGAGAAATGTTACATCCTAGAGATCTATCTTCCTGCGGAGTTTTAAATGCAGCCTCACTCGAATGAAGCTGCCCGCTTTCAAGTGATTTGAAAGAACTTGATTTGCTGGTTCAGGTGCCATTCAGGCGTCATTCTGTCACTCTGCAGTGGGACTGTTGGTGTTATATATCCTGTTAGTTTGACATTGGATGTTTGATCTTTTTTTTTTTTTCACTGGACAGAAAGAATTATATCAGGCACTGAAGATATCATATAACTATAACTTTGAGCTCTTCAAGAAGAACAGAACCCACTGCTGGAATAACAATGCATTCCAAGAACTAATGGAACATCTCCACCGACAAGCTAAATCAAATTTCGTAAGTCAATAGTTGGGCTGAGTCAACAATTACTTACATTATTTACAATTTTGGACGTTAATCGTTATTGTTAATATCTAGGTCCCGGTGGTGATGAGCTCTGAACTTGAGACGTTGGTCGACAACTTCAGAAAGCTCGATCAGTTTCTCACACAGCAGGTGAGAGACCAAAAAAATAACGAAAAGGTTTAGAATGTGTTTATACCTTCATTCAAATCTGCATTGATTAACTTGTGTGACTTTTCTTTCCGACAGAATTTTAGCTGCTGCGCGTGGGAAGCTGTGCGCCAGGACATTCTGGTCGTTATGGACAACTTGATTAAAATGACTAGAAAAATGACTAGAAGAATGACTAGAAGATACATTTAATTCATTGCGTGGCGCAAATTAAATGTTGTCAATAATTGATTAATATTATTTTGATATTTTTTATTGTTTTATGTTTTTGCACTTTTGATTTTCCATTGAAGTCGATATGGTAAAATGAATCAATGAATGTTTAATGTTATTATCTAAACTGTATTTTACGGCTCTGGGCTTGCTATGTTTAAACAAATGTACTAAGTAGAACAACTAGACTACACTAACTAAAAGGTTTACTTTAAGCGAACAAACTTTGATTGTTCTTTAGGCTACTATACAACCCACTGTTTATGCTGGAATGTGCTATTATTACTATGAAGGAATGTTTCGTTTACATGTTGTTTGTAACATACAATGGATGTCTAAATGTCTTTGTAACAAATATGTGGACACGTGTGCATTTCTCACTTGACCAATGTTCACAAAAAATAAATACTTAAAAATGTACACTGTCTCTCAAATCAGTCATTATGTCGTTTAATATGTCTATGCAAGTTGTCACATCTTTTTCAATATTTTTCAGGGTCGGTATATTTTGAAAGATTTCGGTAGGCTACTGGGAAAAAAACAATTTGAACATGAAAATGTTCAGTCATTTCGAGGAAAAAATAGTTTATTTAACACATGTCTATATGTAAAATGCTATTTATTTGCTTCCCAACAATAATTTAAGCAGTACACACAACAATTAATAAAAATAAAGTATATCATAATAAGAATGAAAGTAATTTCTTATTTATTATTGTTGTTCAAATATTGTTTGCATTACTTTTGGGCTCTGACCTCATACAATATTCAACAGAAAAGGTCAAGGCGACAGTTGTGGTCGAAAGACATCAAACACAGGTATCGATGAGTGAACACTGAAACCCGGAGCCCACTCTCACGCAAAGGTTTTCTCCCGTAACTTTCTATAATTCCTTCACTTTTAATAGACCTAATACCGTAAACAAAGTGTCTGCTGTAAGGACTTTCTGCGCTGCTACTTTTGTTCCGTGTTTCAAACTGCGATCAAAACATTAAACCTCCTGTAAGCTGCTTCATTCCATGCGGCTCGATAAAAGTGATCTTTGCTAATCTTGCCATCTACAGGCAAATAAGTGCAACATCTTAAAAGTGCTTTCAAGTTCTCATTGATTGAAATCACGCATGCGTATAGATTGCTTAAAGATATTTTATGGGATAAACTATACTGAAAAAAGAGGGATTCAATCTAACAACAGACAATTCTAATAATAAAACAAGTCATACAATTCGCACCCAGTAATAACGAACCAGAGAAAATCCACAGAGGCGCGAATATGTATTTTAAAAAGGCCCAGAAATACACAGAACTTGAAGAACCAAGTTAGATTTTATATATGTGTGTGCAAGAAGTCTTAATTTAAAGTAATAGACACTTTTATCTGTATTTGTTTGATAAAATTTGCACGCCTACAACTAATTGTTTTATCAATTTTTTATTTTTTTATTTTTCTTGTCATTGTTATACCATTTCACCAATGACATTTAGATGCAAGCTGGTTGACCAGCTATCATTTTCCAAAACACAGGATTTTTTTTTCACAACCTCGAAATTAGCTACCCCTGTTCAAAAACACTGCTATAGCTATAAATGGCATAACCTGGATTTATTTTTAATAATATATTATTTTCTATAAAAAAATGCTACAACATATTTTAACAACAACAATAGGCCTAAACATAATTATTAGCCTATAATTATTATTATTATTATGTAAAAAAATATATATATAGAAAGATATGCTGGAAGTAAAATAGTTTGATAAACTGATGGTCAATGCTAGCCCATTTTTCTCGTGCAGTGACAAAAGATGAGAAATTGCATTTCATTGCACCAAGAGAAAGTGCGGTGAAATCCAGTGAGAGCGATTGTACGTGGTTGCGTCAGCACGTGGCGTTAACAAAGCGTAAATACGTCTCAAACAGAAAGTGTTGTTCTGTACACAACCCGCAGGTATAACCCCCTTCTCGTTTGGAAACGTCAGCGACCTTGAAATACTTTGGAATCGGGTAATTATTTTGAGCCGTGGGATTGCTTTAACTTATATTGAAGTTGCTTAGCATTAGTTTGTATGTTACACGTAGGTTTGTGTGCGTTTTGGTGTCTATAGCCTAGTAAGACGATTAAAGAGTAAACTATAAATATGTAGCCTATGCTTTTATAGTACTTTAGATATGTACTTCTTTTCTAAGTACAAAATGTATTGCTTTTAAAAGTGATTTCATTATTCATATAGCAGACCAGATGAGATATTTTGTATAGTAGCCTAGTCTATGGGCATTCGCTACAACTAGAAAGTGAAAGTAAGCCGGATAGTACCGACCTGCATACTGCGTTTTCCCTTTCCATACTCCAGAATAAAATCCAGCAAACTCCACCATGCCACTGCAACAGTCTCTCGAGCGACACAGTAGAAAGCTACTGCACGTATACAAAGATGAAACAAGCTCAAATGTGGACGTATATTTTTGTGATGTTTTTAACTCTGCAGCAATGCTCCGCTTGCAGATGGCTCGGCCGATACATGATGGTGAGCGCCGATTCTCTGAATCTGCTTAGGGAAATGGTAAGTAGCCTACGCTTTTAAAGGCATCATGATTTATTCGTGAATGTTCATCAGAAGGCATTAGACTGCTGCGCAATACAACCACAGTCATTTTCTCCAGAGTCTTTAAGACTCTCAAGTAGATATTTAGGCTATACAACAGATGCATTGTTTTTATCTTAGTAACTTGTTAATTCAATTTTACAGAATGATTCACGACTATTTGGAAAACTGCAATAAACGTGTTTTACCTATTGAGGGATGCTCTCACGTTTAATCTGTTTCGTTAAGCGTTTAAAAAAATATATGGTGTAAAAGTGTTTCCTTGATTATGTTACAACATCTTTGCTTCTATCCATTTATTTTCGTAACACTAATTTTCAGAGATTTATTCAATAGTGATTCATTCAACGTGGTTGATTGACAAAGATGAATTAATGTTATTAATCAATTTTATTTAAAAAAATTAAGTCAATTAAAGTTTTTTTTTTTTGTAGGTTTATGTAAAAAGTCTTAAGATTTTTATATGCAGATGGAACATATCAGAAATTACAAATTGTGCTCTTTCTTATAGGGTGGACAATATCCTGAGGATATCAAGGTGCCATTTCCAGGGACCCTGTACAACTTGATAGGCGATGCTAAGGTTTGTAAACTTTTCTCTGTGATTGAATACAGAGGGCAAACATTTCATTCCATAAATAAAATATATGACTGCAAAATAAATGGGGGAAAATGAGATCAGGATTTCATGACGTGAAAATCTTACTAAACTTGCATACATCACAACAGTGTTTTTATGGGACCAGTTACCTACACATAGCATTATATCTCCTTACAGGTGGAGGACCAGGTGAAGTTTCTTGTCTTGACCTTAGATCATATCATCAAACTCATGGATGGCACAGGGCACATGAATTCAGTGCAATGGAAACCAAAGACAGTGGAATATTTCCTAAAAGACCTGCACAGGCAGTCATCTGAGCTTAAAGAATGTGTAAGTCTTGTCTGAAAGTATTTGTGCTTAGGAGAAACTGATATCAGAATTCCATGCTATGAATTACAAATAATCCTTTGTTTTAATTAAAAGGATTGTCATAGTAGTAATAAACCATGAATTTAGATTGAATGATTCCACTCAATCTTTTAACCTCAAAACTGTTATATGACATTAATAATAAAAATGTTGATGTTCAGATGAAAAGGCTAAATTAATAAGAGCAATTAAATAAATGTGTTATATGAAATGTCAACATTTTTGGTTACAACTATTTTGTCAATTATGTTATTTTTCCTCATTGTTTATATTTTGCTTATGGTTTTTTATCAGGTGGCCCAATACCAAAAGCCATCACATAAGGAGTCGTACGAGAAAAGGATAAAAAGGCACTTCAGGACTTTAAAGAGGATTTTAAAGAAAGAAGTAAGTTTGATTGTATAATATGATATCACAGCTTGTTACATTGTTTGTATATGTTAGTTGACTGATTTCTGTCATCAGCTTTATTTTTCTTAGTGTCTTAAGAGGCATATTGTATTTGCGATTCTGCAATGTTAATGCTACTTTGTAAAGAATAAAATTAATTCTTTTCTTCCATATAAAATGTAAAATCAGTCATACACAGCTAAAGATGTTCCTCTTGTGTTTTAAGAAATATAGTGCTCACGCATGGGAGCAGATCCGGAGAGCTGTGAGAACCCACCTTCAGAGGATGGACATCATTGCAAACAACACAAAGTCCCTGCTAAAAGTTTAACAGACAATCAATGACAGAAAAAGACCTAATGACAAAAAAAAAAAGGTCTGACTTGTGACACATTCCATAGAACAAAAAGGTTGCTGCAAACAATGCCTTACAAACAAAAACTGAAGAAAAAAAAACTCAATGTTACAAATGTATTTGTGTATTCAGATGTTTGTATTTAATTGCAATGAAGGAAACCTAGAATGTAACCTAGAGTAGCTTATATTGTCTAATGGGTAGTGCTTTAATACAATGTTTACCTTATGTGTTTCCTATGAAAACTTGAAGTTATCAAAAATTATGTTTCTTACAAATACCTATGAAAACGTTTCAATTTGGTTTAGGTGAGAATAAGCCTCTTTGCCTAAACTATACTCAGATATTTTGCTAACTAAATGTAAAATCATGCTATGCATTTCAGATCATATGTATTAATTGTCAGTCGGCCAGCATGTTGTGATGCACATGTATGTTGGGTATATTTCTTCATTGTTTTAAGTATACTTAAATATATTTATATATCTTTGAGCACAATTTTTTTTATATCCCAGTATATTTATTGTTTTCATATTTAAAGTTATTTATAGTTATTTATTTGCTCTAATTGTTACAAAACATTTTGTACTTTCAAATAAAAATGATTGAAACCGCTTAAGGTGTTAACATTGTTTACTAAATACATTGAACTTCCAGACACCAGTACAGTTTACAATTCCTTGTACTTGTCTTACTTCACCTACTTTTATGGGTCTTCAGAGATTGAACATGATCTTTGTGAAATGTGTTGTGGCAAAATAAAAATGACTCTCACCGCATAAGAGACAAACTCGCTCAATTGTCTTTTTCAAAGGTTTTATTTCTTGCAAGAAAGGTCAGACAGACGTACAGAAACACAAGTTGCTGCAGAGTGCGACAAAGAAGGGAGGGATCTCTTCCCTAGCCTTCAAGGTTACATCTCTTAACAACTGTACTTTTCCACACATAGAAAGAAAGTCAAAAACACATTCCACTATATCATACTTCTAAGACTCGGGCCCTCATATTTAGGGACATGGTGACCTTCTAGGTCATGGACAGGCGTCTTTGGGTCTACCTGTTGTCCCCCCCACTGAGCCCAACTTAGACCTGCACAAACCCCTTGTCACCCATACATCTTATTCTTTAGGCCCCAAACCATACCTCATTCTGACTTCAAAGCCGTTCTAAGTAAAGCAGGCATTACACAATGTTCCATATAAAATCATGCAAAATCAATAAAATACATTTTTCTTCCTCAAATGTAAAAGTTTTTTTTTTAATATATAAATTCTCATTTACAGATATTTCTGTAATGCTAATGTAATATCTGTAATATCTGTAATATCTGGGGCAAAACATTTCTTCTGTGAGACACTAAGATTATATTTGCTGGGAAAAATGTCTCTGTTTTTGTCAATAAAAGTTAAAAACATCTGAAACATTTTTGTGTTCCACAGAAAAAAATAAAGTCACTGTAATAAGCAATAAGCACTGTAGTTAAATGATGACTGAATTTTCATTTTTGAGTGAACTTTCAATTCAAGCTGTCCAGATATGAATAAAAAGGCAATTCTAATGCGAAACAATGTAAGATCACCACCACTAACACCAGGGGCGTCATGCACTCATTATTTTTGACGGGGTCGTCATGTGACACACAGCAGCCAACAGCACTTATGTTTTATTTATTTTTTCCTTTTTATTCGAAACATCCCCAAACGCATTAGCTATATCATGAAATGTCTTGATTCTCACCTTTACAGATTATGTTGATCTATAGTGGGCGATGGTCAAAGTAACGGTCGCCGTGATTTTGCCAAGTAAGACATGTTCCTGGATCAACATCTTTTGATGATTCTGGATCAACATTATTGTCCAAAAATATTGCCCATAATTTATTCCTAAAATCAGTGGGAAATGATAGCTGATTAACAAGGGTGTAGAAGCACCTAACCCTGATTTTAAGCCTAAAACAGATATTTCCTGAAAAGTTATATCTCTATTCTGATTGGTTGATTGGAATGTTGTTCCAGGATCAACAAGGATGTTGATCCAGGAACATGTTGTACTTGGTGAAATCACGCTCACCCAAAGTAACCTAATAATGTAATCTATTAACTTTGCATAAAAACCTGTGTTTACTTAAAGGGGTCATATGATGCTTTTTTAAAGATCATTATTGTATTTGGTGTAACAGAATATGTTGACATGCTTTAATGTTCAAAAAACACATTATTTTTAAAATACTGTACATT